AGACAGCAAGGAGATATATAGTTTTGATATCGCCCAGCCATTGCTAATTATAATCAGTTGTACTATACAGTACAATAAAACTATATATTGAATATTATAATGAATAAAATGAAAGTCACTGACCTCATGAGAACTAAATACATGCCTTGGCGGGCCAGATTTCATTCTCTCAAGTGGGTCATTACAATTGATACAATGACTTGAAGAAAGAAAGGAAATGTTGTGGCATGGATGGGCAAAAGAAACTTTGTCTAAAAGGAGTCTTAAAAACATTGATATTTAAAAGGTACTGTGTTTAAAACTACATGTCATCTTTCTACAGTATCGAGCAATCATTTTCCAATACCAATAGTTACTTTGAGTTTCATAATTGCTTTTCTCTTTCTGACATTATTTTAAAACCTGCAGTGAAGAGCCACTTTATAAAAGAAATGCAACTTGCTGATTGAAAGATAAGAATAAACTAAAGATGGAGGGACAAAGATTTGGAACATCCAGAAGGTTAAAGCCACACTGTCCTACTTGTAGCTACAAGTAGTTTGCTCCCTCTATTTAGAAAACAATGCCTAATCGGTGACCATTGGTCCCCCATGATCCTCTTTTTCTTATGTTGATTGAGAGCTAAGTTGATGAGATAACCACCTGTCCAGTGACCTCTCCTAAAAACTAGTACAGATAAGCTTTAAAACTATTGACAAGATGCGCCCTATTCATCAATGGATGATCATGAAACTCACTCAGGTTTCTTGCCAGTTCCCTGCTAGAAGCAGAGTTAAATTAGAATTAATTCACAGGAAATCCTAGGGATTTAACCAGTTGAGTTTCCCCGACTCCCCAATGAAACTTTCCCCACTTCTTTTTCAAACGGAGATATTGACTTCCATGTTTGTGACATCCCTTGAGGTAGGAATGACCAGACAGTCTGAATGGAAAGTTAGAGGTATTTGACCCCCACATTCAGACAACCAAAATTCATGGTATAGCTATACAATAAAATACAGAAAATATTCTAGTGTGAAAGTCCTATATAGTAAATCATAGAACCATAACAAATGTTTAAGCATCATTTGAATAACTTGATAAAGTATCTGGGTCCTGTTCTAATCTGAAAGTTGTATCTTAGAACATCGTATAACTGGGCGGGGTTTAATATCGTGAGTGCTCATGAATGATTGGCCAGCTCTCCTGTCAACTGACCTGAGCAAAACTAGTTTCTCTATACAACGTTTCTTTGTACGATGTTGTTGTCCAGTCTGGACTTTCCTTTCGGTATGTGATAATTCTTGTATACAAGTTTCTTATAAACTACCCATAGTGTGAACAGTCTTTGTGAATCTGGCCGATACACCTGGAGTCACTATTCCGTTTTGTGGCTAGCGCTGTTTCTAATGGCTAGAAGCTTGTCCACTTGATCTAATAGAGAATCTGCTTATCAAATCGCTGGTGACATATGTCAGCATTTAGCAGTAAATTAGAAGATGGCTCCAAATTTCTTCCATTTTCTGTACTTTTTTTTAATCTGTCAAGTTTTCCCTTGGCATTCTTGCATCTTCTGTGATCACTCCTTCTCCCCATCTTCTTTCTCTGTTTTCTTCTTCTTGGTTTTCGATCTTCTTCTTATCTTCCTCTTTTCCTTTGTATTCTCCTCTTTCTTTCTCCTTTTGCTCCTTCATTTTGTTGCTCTTCTTATCCTCCTCCTCTCCATGTATTTTGATTATTGTCACTCTTCTGTTGTTTTCACAACTATTTATGTTCATTGTATTTTCTTCTCTTCTCCCCTTCTGTACTTTTATGGAATTCCTTTTCCCATCCACTTGTTTCTTGAATAACTATTTTGGTTTATATTTTTACATTTTTCATAACATCTTTTTTAGTGCTTCCTGCATCATGAGAATATTACATGTACATGTAGGAGACACATCCTTCAAAGCACTATTAGCTATGTCAATATCCTATAAAGCAGAGCAACACTTTTGTAATTCAAAACCTCAATTGGCTACAATAAAACTAAACTTCACCTGTTCAAGTTTATATCCGAAACCCAATTTAACTCCGCTTCTGTCTAAGTAAACCTTGTATCCCTTCCCAGATTAGGTCCTGTATAATATTCCCCTGTTAATCTGAAAACTTTCTTCTTGCCAAGTTTCGAAAGCCAAGAGAAAAGGAGCTTAGGAAATTGAGAAGGAACTAGAATTCAGGGCACTGGTCAAGTTTGGCATAGTTAAATGTTTAATAACCCGGGATTAAAGTGAAAGTTTGCTACTAATCCAATCACTGACTTTGAGGGACATCTACATGTACAGATGCTGATGAAGCACATTTTATGTAACTTTTCAAATTCTGAGCAGTTATTTTGCCCTGAGTTTCTAGACTTATTTAATCTAGTAGGCCGAACCTATATCCACAGTAATCACTTTCCCGTTCTTGTATTTCATCAAATCAAGGGTCTCATCTGAAAATAGATGATATCTTTATGAAGTTTAGATTGTGCCTGAGTGTCCCTAATTTGGTTGTGATTGTATTCAAGTTTATCAGATCAGGAAAGCTGTAAGAAATCAGAACAAACGCTTTCACAATAATTTGATCCAAAGTATATTTCCAATTTCCTCTCTGACTTGAATTGGTACAAAGCTGTGGGTAAATTCAATAATTTTGTTTTGATATAAGATATATTTCCAATTTCCACCCTGAAATCAGATTTGGATTTTATTGTCTGCCTCTAGTTTAGGGCTGAATAGACAACGGAAGAAGAAGCTACAGAGAGAACTAGTTAGAATGAAGTAATTTTTGGAATTGCCAAGTGTTACAACTGACAAGAGATACTGCACATTACTTTTAAAGAGGATAATGATTAATGATTACCATTGAAAACAAATAATGGGTTAAAAAAAAGAGAATGTTAGATGGTACTATCATTTTCCCAGAAGTGTATTTGTAAAACGCCTTGAAAACAAAGAATTCATAAGATTATTTCCAGCTTTTCGTAGTTTTTATTCCTTTTTTTCTCTCCTCCTTAATGATACTCTTCAGCTCCGTTTTGATGCTGCTTCACATTCAATCATTTCTGAGAAATGCCGCTGCAATTCTTGTCTCCTGTACATACCGGCATCATCATCGATCTTCTCTGCACTTTCCTAAAGTTTTCAGGGCCATCTCACAAATTGGCAACGTCTCTATTGATTTGCCAACAGCAGTAGGGTTAACCGGCTGGTATTCCGCAAGGGAGCCATTATCTAATTTTCTAATAACCTGTAATAAACAGCCCTAGCTCCAGGTCATGGGCCTGGGATAGTACGTTGGAACATCATCAACTTCATCGCAGTGTTTGCGTGATGGAATCCTCATCAGTATTATTTTCCTATCTATGTTGTGTTGCCTAATATACACTTTGGAAAGATGAGTGTGTCAATTATTTTCCATAATGTTTAGCTTCAAAAAAATTCTGCCCTTTTTTTGGTGGTGGTTTTCTTTGCTTATGCCGTTGTGGTAAAGATATATGGTTGGTTTATGATGGGAAGCTAGCTGAAGAAGTATCCTTGACCATCTTACCCTGATAATCTAAAACAAAATCAGACGCATCTATAAATCGTCTTTCCCCCTCTCCAATTAAATCTTTGTGCTCTCGCTGCCGACCAGTAGGTTGTTTATAGAACTCGCTGACCGAAGAGGGGTAAAAGAGGGGAAAAACAGACTTTAGAGAGCGGAAGAAATATAGGTCAATCGTATCTATTTCCTTGAGTTCTCTTGGGAATTCTGACAAAACTAACTTTGCAAGTTTAGGGAGGTTGTCGAGGCTTCCGTAAGAAGCAGAGTTTGGCTTTCAACGTGATGTAAGATTTGTCGGAGTGCTCACGCAAGCCAGTAATTGGCTAGGTCTGATTCACAAGGCATAAAGGAAACTAAGGCTTAGGACCTGATGACATCTCCGAAGGGGACGCTACATGCTGAAGGGAAATATTTTGGACAAGAATCTGGGATAAAGATTCTAGTAGATGATTTGGGATTAGATCCTCGCCTCCTCGGAGCTTGGACTTCAAATGTTAGACTTGCGAATGAAAGTCCACTCCTTTACTTAAATCTTATAAAGTTTTCCCCATGTAATCCCAATGCACTACTGGCTCTTAACAAGATAAGGACTTTGCAGCCAGTAGAAGTAGTATGAATTAAACTCTGTATCCAGGACTTAACCTGAGGTAGTGGATCATAAAGACCAACCCAGGTTGTTGGAAGCCTTTGAGAGTCTGGTGATAGAAACCTGATCAGCATATTAGACGTGTCTTTACAAGGTTTTAGTGCCTCCATGATGCTCGTACTTTGGTTGCTGATTTGTGAGTTCTTACGAGATGGAATGGAAGATTTCCTTTTTGAAAAGATCCCAAATGAATGCAGTTTGACTGTATGTACTTCATCTTTCTCAGTCCTAGATGTTTAAAAATAGCAATGAAAGTTTTGGTGCTACCACATGTGAAGTCATAGTCCTATTTTCTTCACTAATTGCTTTTTTCCTCATTTGAGGGGTTCTTCCCTCAGCCCCACCATGTTACCCCTTTAGCTCCGGTATACCTGGTGATTTGGACCAGGCAGGCAGGCAGGAATTATTAATTAACACCTGTAAAGAAAACACCTGGGATCATGAAGGATTCCTCTGAGGGATGGCAGCAAGAAAAATAGTACTCACCTGTGACCCAGTTGTTCTGCCTTGCTTTTCATTTTACCTTTGAAAAGTAGTCTACATGTACATGTATAGTGAGTTACATTTTGAAAAAAAATATTAAGAATTGGGGATTTGACCTTACGGTTCAGCTTGACTAATGGCTTGACTTTACATTGATGTTTTGTCATCTACATGTAAGTCTTGGCATCTAACAGGTTCAACAGATTTACTTTCAAAATAATGCTTCATTCTTAATGGTGGTATAACCGCCCAGATGACATGTATTAGACAATCTTGTATATCAATTTTACGATTTAATCAACGTTTCATTTTTATCACTAAACAGGAGCACTTCAACTACTTTGCCCAAGATGAAAACCTTGGTCCGTTGATTCTGTCAGTGAAGCATGAGACGATAGGAGGGGAAGATGCTTTAAGAGTGGTGCTCAGATCTAAAGCCGGTACTATCCACGATGTCCTAGCCGTCTCAACGCTTGGAGACTCACCCATTCCGGCCAGAATCGCAAAGGTGTGTGACACAACTCTATAAATGTTATGTTAAGGGACCTAACATCATACCTAACATTATACCTAACACTATCTGGAAGCCTAACATGAAACTCAAACCCTAACACTTAATCTTCATAAAAAGTACATCACCTGGTAAAAAAATGTTTCAAAAGGCATAGGGTGTAGGCCTTCTATGTCCTTCTCATATGTATAGGTTTACCGTGTATAGTAAAGATTTAGAAGTTTTAAGCAAAATTTGATGTACCATTCTATGAAGTTGAAAGTGATCATCATTGCTGGAAATAAAATGGATAAGGGGATGGAATGAGATGATGTGAATAAAGACTGAAGTACAGGATTATTTTCTTGGTACTTTTATCTTTGATGAAGGCATACTCATGTATCTCTTTTCTTTCTTTGTTCGACAGACACTGTGTGACCGTATTACTACAGAAAGATATCAACCAGTACTTTTTCCAAAGGTAAGTGTCTTTACACATCTTTATACTTCTTTCATTTGATCTGTTGCTATGTGGAGCAAATCTTAGGCAAACCACTGATGATCTTTTAGATGACAATGGCTATGGTTTATTCTCCTAATAATAGTTTTACAACTGTAATTCCTTTTGAGTGTAAAATTCAATAAAATAGGGGGGAGAGTATAGCGCAAGATGATATGTTTAATGAATAAATGTCTTTAATGGCAGCCTCGGTTTGAATGTGATCTGTTATAAGGCCCTGCAGTCACTGTGACTTTTAAGACTTGCATGATTCTCAGTGAATCAGAACAGGAGGTAAGGATAGCAGTTTATAATGATCATTTCACACATACAGTAGCCTTTTAATACAGATGTGATGGTAGACTCGGGGGGGGGGGGGGGGGGGGTGTCTACTCTACTGTTAAAAACCTTAGTACCTTAGGGTCTACGAAACCTTGATCAAATCTCAGTTTCAATGAGTGCTTCTCTCATTGTAGAGGTGTCGTGGTCGAGTGGATATGTCACCGGACTTTCCATCACAAGGTCTGCGGTTCGAGTCCCGCCACGGCACTAATGTCCTTTGGCAAGACATTGATCTACACATGCCACACTCAACCCAGGTGATGTAAATGGGTACCTGGCAGGAATTAATTCCTTGAAATACTAGAGCGCCGTAATGGCCGCCTTGCTAAGCCAGGGTAATATTCATGGCAGCGCCAGGAGCGTCACAACGTGACGAACATGTGCGCTATCTAAAGAAGCCGCCATTATTATCATTATTGTACATTTCAGGGTTCAGAGCTGATTGTGAGCTACGATGAACACTCCTTCGTCAATAAGTTCAAGTTTGGGGTCGTCTACCAGTGCGTCAGCCAATCAACAGAAGAGGAGATGTTTGGTAACAGGAACTCAAGCCCCGCCCTTGATGAATTCCTAGAGATGCTAGGAGAGAAGGTGGAGCTCAAAAATTTCTCAGGGTGAGATATTTTTTAAAGTCCTCCTTAATTTTCTTTTGGTTCTTGTTTGTTTAATTTGTTTTGGTTCTTGTTTGATTGGTTTGTTTGGTTTGTTTGTTTTTTGTTTTTAATCCTTTTTGTGGTGGATGGAAGAAGGAAATGATTGTGTGCATAAATAGATTAAATAACTACTTTATTTTGCTGTATGTACATTTTAAGCACAGTTCTGTACTTGGGATGAGGATGATGTTTTGGGCAAAGTGGAGACATCTCATCCTACCTTTTTATGTTTATACTACCCATGAACAAACATAGAGATGAAATGCATTTTGTAGTAAAGTTACCCAATTTTGATCCAAAGTTCTGTGCTCTCTTTGTTTTGTTGCAGTTTTCGAGGAGGTCTAGATGTAAATCATGGCCAAACCGGCACGCATTCCATTTATTGCAAGTACCACAATAATGAAATCATGTTCCATGTCTCCACCATGCTTCCGTACACAGAAGGAGACGCACAACAGGTAAGGAATCATAATTATCTTCATAGTTAGATCATCAAGCCCAGTCACTATTCAAACTCTTACTATCTCTGTATTCCTCTCCGGACACCTGCCCTCTAGACAACCCCCCCCCCCCCCAGATAACCACCCTCTAGGACGACTACCTGGTTAATCCGGAGGGTGGTTGTCCAGGGGGTAGGTGTCCTGTAACCCTCTGTATCAGTTGCTAGCATCAATGGGAAGAGTGTTGACTGGTTGAGCTAGGAATGCTAAAGAAGGAAGTTGATAGAGAGCACGAACCGAGCCAGCCATTTCTATTTTAAATGATGGAAATAACAGATGAAATATTATGGAATGTTAGTAGCCAAAGTTAACTCTTTGACTACTGAATTCTGAAGTTCCCATAGGCTTAATACAGGGGCCGCCCAGTTCCAGTAGGCATGGGTTAACAGTGACATTAAACCCCATCTGCACTAGTTTGACCAGGAGGGATTAGACCTCCCTGCATGGTCACTGCCGGGCCGTTATCTCATCAAATCAGCTCTAAATTAGGCATTGTTGGCTATGTATAGAGGGCGCAAGTAGCTACAAGTAGTGTAGTCCCGCTTTAAAAGCTACGCAGTAACTACAACCTACATCCAGTTACGAGTATTTTGGGAAACATCTGTATAAAGTTTCTTGAAACCCCTCTTTGCTTGTTGACAGCTTGACTAGAGGCATCGTTTAACAATGTTAAATCTGAGATGCACGGCCCTACATGTTATCACTGTCTGTGATATGGTGTAATATTGAAGCCCTAAAAAAAGTGCGCTTCAAAATGATCATGATGTGCCTCAAACAAGTGAAAAATCGGTTTTACCACACTCATTTTCCCCAATAGACTGTAGTGTTATAAACACTCTTAGGAAAACGTAACGTTTGATTTCGATTTCCAATCATAAATATCTTGATAATGAGAAGGTCGATCGGCTTGTAAAAGTCATGGGATTCCCGAATGACCTAAAAGTTCATAATTATGGTTGCAGCATGAGCTAAATCCAGGATTCTGTTTTAGAATCTGAGGCAATGTTACCGAGTCACTTTAAGCTAAAATCCTCCATGTACATGTTCTTGGCCTTGCAGCTTCAGAGGAAGAGACACATCGGAAACGACATCGTAGCTATCATCTTCCAGGAAGAGAACACACCGTTCATACCTGATACGATCGCATCCAACTTCCTACATGCATACATCGTGGTACAAGCCATCCAGGCCAACTCGGTGGAGACAAAGTATAAGGTACGAAGCATTTCCATTTCCTTTGGGTCGTAGATTGATGCCTAGTCCTTTGGGTGCCTTTCATTGATGGTTCTTCATTTCCACAAAGATACAATGTTACAGTCAAACCTGCTTTAGGACCACCTGTCTACAAAAGCCACATTTTTTGTTTCCCTTGAAAATGGTTTCTTATTGAAACATATACTAAAGGAAGCTGTGGAAACTGTTTGTGTTTCCCTTGGGTGGTCACTACAGACAGGTTTGACTGCATTTTCAATATGACTTCTGGTTTGTGCCATCATGATTAATATTTGGCCGTTGAAGTTGTGATTCATTGAGCTCCCGGTATGTTAGGTATATATCCTTCAATTCTTTGAGGCTTTCTTTCAGATGATTGAAAAACAATTTGTATGTGTAAATTCTTATCCAGAAATAAATGTGTTTTATGAGACTCCCAGGGTCAGAGAAGAAAAAAAAGGCAACTATCAGTATCCCCAAAATTAAATTCAACATACCAGTAAGAACATGCACACCAAAATACATGTACCGGTACATGTGTAATAATTTTTTTTTTAAAGAATGTAGTTATTATTTAGGGGCCTGTCACAGATTGCTTATCAAACTTAAAGGTAAAGACCAGTTATGGTCATGCGATTGCATTGTGAAAGAAACGTTGTGGAATCGATCAGAAAAGGTTGATCATCTAGCATCTAGCATCTGCAAGGTTCTGGAATCATCAAAATGATAAGAAATTTGGCCCATTCTTTGTAAAGTTACAAGCACTATACACAAAAAGATGTATATGGGACTACCCTATATCTCTCACAGACCATGAGAGAAACAAATTTACCAAATATATGAATTAGTAGGCGGTTTCCCGGCAAATTTTTTATCATCATGTATTAGTCAAACATATTCTTTCACACGATTGATAATGAGAGCTTCCATTTCATTTTTTGAAATTGGGGCGTTTCCAATACTGGTCTTAACCTTTAATAGGTTTTTTGAGGATTGTAATATGTATAGCCCTATGAGCGTCAGAGCCTTGCAGATACCAGCGCTATATAACTATCCATATTATTATTATTATTAGTTATGCCTTATTACAAAGGCACTGAAGTAGTTTCAAAATTAAAAAGCCTTCAAAGGTTTTGTCTTCAAAGTGCAAATTTGAAAAACTAAATGTTGTCTTTGCTGTACCACCAGGTGACGATAACAGCAAGGAACAACGTTCCACCGTTTGGGCCCAGCTTGCCAGCCCCTTCGATCTACAAGAAAGGCTCTGAATTGAAAGAGTTCCTGCTGTGCAAGCTACTCAATGCTGAACACGCGTGCTACAAGGCTCAGAAGTTTGCCAGTATCCAGGTAAGATGAAGTCCTCTAGAATGTGTCTATTCTTCATGTGGCCTGTACAGAGCTGCCAACCAGTATGATTTAATTGTATTTCGTACAATTTGTAGAAGTAAATACGATGGTACAATTTTCCAATGGCAATGGCAATTTCAATGGCAAAATGCCCATTCTGTCCTGTAAAGTATCCTACAAGCATCTCACATCAGCAATTTGTGGATGTTCATTGGTTCATCGAACACACCAGTCATGACGAAATCATGCATATTCAACCAATGATCCATACAAAAATTTCTTCCTGTACTGATGTAGGAGCTGTAAGAGGCATTGATCCATGTTGGTTTTTTTAATACAATTTTTTAAAGTAAAATGCAAATTTTGCGATCAAAGAATACAGTTTTTTGGGGGGGGCAGATCTGCCTTTATTGACCTGAGGCATGTTTTCATATTCGTTGTTTTGTGGTTTGCTCAATAACTTCTGATTCAGAGCCCTAAATAATATGCCAGATGCAAGAGAGGAAAATGACAAACATTTCTGCACATACACTGCATTCATTTTTGTTTCAAGGAAAATAAGCTTAAACTCCTTATATTGGCAAGACAATGAGAAAATCAAAATCATTGTTTTGTTATCAAAATTGGCAATTTTTCAACTCTTTGACATCATTCCTGCCCATGTATATTGCGTTTAGAGATATTACATTTTATTAGAACAATATTGCAATAAAAGAAAAATGTTATTGTTGCCAATTTGAAAGACAATATGTGATCAATTTAGCCTTCAAAATGATTCCTGTCCTGAAAGGGTTTAAATGGTTTTTGGATTGGAGCAACAGAACAAAAGCAAAGCTAATACTACCTGGAGATTGATGGCTTGGCATTGTCTAAGAATTGATTTATGGAAAGGAAAGATAAGTATACAACCTAGGTTGTTTTGAGGGGGAAGAACTGTGAAACGGTAGATGAGTTCAATTTCCTTGTATATATGTCATGTTGAATACCTACATTGTTTGATAAGATTCAATGTGATTTGATTGCTTGGTGTTATTATTATGATGAATGTTTGTAGACTTCACATCTCATTTGTGTTTGGAATGTATGTATAATATATATTTCTTTCTCTCTTTGCTCTCTCTCTCTCTCTCTCATACAGGCAAGAACAAGAAGTGCTTTACTAGATCATCTCTACCATGATCTCATGTCAAAGAATGAAGACATCTTCTGTGCTGTGGCAGGTATGTCATCTTTCAAAATTCCTCTGTGAATGTTCTAATACCCTAGTCCCACAACCGACACGTGACAAACAGGTTACCAGAAAAATAACATTACAGAACCTCCAAATGGCCTAGAACTGGTTGGTTTCATGGTTTGACTGACGTTAATAGTCTTTCATTAAATGTTGTGGGGGAAAGAATAGATATGGAGGGGAAATTGCTAAAAGACCCTGGTAAGTCTAAGCTCTAGTCACCTATATTCAAGAACTATTTGATGATGATACTTGAAAACAAACTTGGTTCATCTTCTGAAAGCAAAGGAGGATGATGACTCCCATACATAGAGTTAAAGCCCGTCTGTACTAGTTTGGCCAGGGGGGATTAGACCTCCCTGCAAGATCACTGACAGGTGTTTATCTCATCAAATCAATTCTCAATTAACAAAAGAAAAAGGACATCATGGGGGATCAATGGGTAACGCTTAGGTAGTGTTTGCTATATAGAGGGCGCAAGTAGCTATAAGTAGTGCAGTGTGGCTTTAATGCCCTTCTTGCTCTCAACAGACGTAATCATGTTATCAAAATAGATTAATCATATATTGATTATTCATCATTCTATTTATAGGAGATGACATCATCTCACCTCTGCAATCCAGTCAGGGTAAGGGTGACTACTCACCGGGCGGGAACCGAACGCTTCTCAAGAGCTTCAAGAACGCCTTCAGAGGGCGCACAACATCGCTAGAGAGCACGGGCTCGGGCTCGTCGGGCACGCTACCCAAGAACGTCAACGGCAACACGCTGTTTGTAGGCACGGAGGGGTTGCCAAGGGCGAGTACGGACCAGGTGGATAGCACGAGCCCAGCTGTGAGTAGCTCTGAATCTTGCTGTTGTGATGATGATGGTGGTGATGATGATGATGATTAGGAGGAGGAGGATGAGGATGAGGGTGGCGATGATGTTGATGATGATGGTGGTGATGTTGATGATGATGATGATTATAATGCTTGTAAGCTCCTCAAAGACTGTTATAAAGCATTTTCCTATAATTATGTTGAAGCAATAATATCAATAATAATGATGAAGTAAAGATGATTACCAATTAAATGAAGTGGCTTTTAGTAGGATAATGATAATGAGAATTTGTCCACTTTTTTCTTGGCTTAAATGCTTTATTGGAACTAAAATTGGGATGAATATGGCATTTGTAATTTATTTCAATCTTGTCTTTCCTCGTGCCAATGTCTTGCCTTGATTAACCTTGTCAGGTGAATGGATATGATGAACATTTTGAGTCATTTCAAACAAATCAACAACTCTTCTTTCTTTTGTATGTTTAGACGAAGCAGAGGTCGAACAGCAGGTCATCCCAAAGATCGGTCTCGAGCTTTGGAAGTGCAGACAAGAAAGAACCAAAGAAGAAGAGGTAACTTGACCCCGAAATCCTTGTGTAATACATCCCTAACCCATGAGCCTGTGAACCAAGCTGCTTTTAGAATAAATTGTTATTATATGACAAATTGTGAAGTTGTTTGTGTAATGAGATGATGGAATATCTTTTGATGAAATGATAGTTACTGATCATTTTGTAAACTGAGATTGGAATTATGCTCCCATTTTTCAATCTCATCCACTTTTTCACTTCTTAAAATTTATTCTACTTCGCTGCCCCTCTGTGCTAATGTTTATATATTCTATTCCTCTTGTTTTCCCATATTCTCTTGATATGTCAATCTGTATTTCTCTACCCTATTTATTCCTATCTCTCTCTGTTTCCTCTGTCTGACAATAATGCATTCCTGTTTGTATTACCATAGGGACAGCGTCCTGAGTCGATCATCACACTCATCAGAGAGTATCAACGGCAGCCAAGAGTCCCACAAGTCTTCCTCAAACTCCCTCAACAGTTCACCTGATATCAACGCATCCTCACAACAACAAAGGTGAGATAGAGAGAGAGAGAGAGAGGGCGGGGGAGGGAAGGAGAGAGGGAGAGATAGAAAATAAAAGGAGGAAAGAATTAAGGAAGGAGACATATAAATACAGACAGTCTTAGAGAGAGAGAGAGGGGGGGGGGGGGAGGGAGAGAGAGAAAGAGAGAGGGAAAAGAAAGGGAGGAAAGAAGGAAGTTAGGGAGAAGACATATAAATACAGACAGTCTTAGAGAAAGAGAGGGAGGGAGAGAAAGAGAGAGAGTGGGGGGGTGAGGGGCAAGAAAGAGCTGCATTATACAGAGGATTGCTGTAGATTATTGCTAAAATGTGGCAATTTATAAAGTCAAGTAAGAATATGTTATCTCATGGTCATGTGTAGATACATTTACATTTTTTGATGCTAGTTTTGTTTTATTGTGACCATTTCTGTTGAAACCGACGTGATCCCTTCCATGGAGCACCATACATTCACTTTGGTGTCGTGTTGTTTTGCTCCCTTGTGTAGGATATACACCAGAGTATCACCAAGTAACTCTTTGGATAGCTTCAACAGTGATGAAGATGCCCAGCTCCACCATCATGACCCACATGATCACCAGGATGATTCAGATACAGGAACGGTAAGATTCAATTCAATCTGCTCATCATTACCTTAATATTTTACTTATTTCTCTTAGTGGTATGATCAAGATGTTAATATCTAAATGTTTGCAAAGGTTAAGAAGTGATGTAACAAAGGCAATTTTCTAAGTTTATACCCACATTCTACATGAAAATTGTTGGTCCTGTTATCAACCTTAGGGGAATAGAGGAATGTACAAGCAGTTCCTAATAAATGTGTGTATTCATATATCTATATTTATATTTAATATTCTGAAGTTTCTGAATATGTTTATAGGATGTAGACAGGAAATTGTGATTATTGTGTAATTTGTGGTCAATAATGATGACTTTTTAACCAAATAAGAGTTTGTAGAGCTACACACTGTTAGTTCTTAACACATGAGTGCTACGCTTGTATTTTATATGCATTGCATAATGGTCATATAAACCTGTTTTTTTTTTCTTCTTAATCTGTTACATTTCTCCAGGGGAGTATGTCATCTAGTAACAAGCCCAGCCCTATGAATCCCTGTATTTGCCCTGAAGGGAAATGCTCAGCTGCAGCCGAGATTGAAGGTATGCCGTCAACTGAATTCCCTCCCTCTGTAACTTGTATTCCAGTATATTGATCACCTGAGAGTACTTCTGTTTATTTTGTTTAATGTGTTTCAAGTCAGCAAAGCTAGATTATGTTGATTCTCCCAATATGATGATTTCAATCATGATAATGGTAATAATGATGGAGGTGCAATGGCTCAGTGGTAGAGCAGTGGCCTCGTGACTGGGAAGTCCCGGGTTTGAAACCAAGACGATGTGCTCGTGCCCTTTGGTGAAAAATTAATCCTCATTACCAAGTCCCTCGGAGAGGACTTAAAGCACACACATGCTTTCTTAGCAGCCGGGTAATGTGTTCCAAATTTCAAGGAATTTCCTACCACCAGTTATTCAATCTGTCACTCATTAGCCTTTCAAGATCTTTGGTGGATTTTCATTTTATAATTTTGTATCGAAATAGTTTTTTAGGTTCAGGAGTCATTACCAATGTCAGCAGTGGATGTAGCATTGAGCAACTTGCTAAGGAATCATTTTTATTGTTAATTGTTAACATTTTCTTGTAATGTTGAGAGAGTTATAGAGGTATGTTAGGATATCGTAGAAGACTTTAACTTGAATCTTCATTTTGTTTGTATTTTAGCGAACCTCGGTCAGCAGCTAGAAGCCATGAGAGAAGAGATTATGAGATTGTCAATGGAGAAGAAAGAACTTTTACAACAAAATGTGGTAAGTGAACTGAGTTGGAGATCCTATCAGGGTGGTGTTTCACAACGATCCTAAGTCGAACTTCACTCTAAGTGTGACTTAAAAACTATGGAGAGCCATGTGTAGCCTTAAAATAAAATATATTAAAAAGCGAAAATTTCAGTATTTTAGACTTTTTATAAATTCCACATCAAGAACATGACACCTCCTTGATAATGGAAAATATGAATAAATTGAATTCAAAAGAACTTTTACAAAATATTTTCATAGATGCTAACAGCTTTCCATAATTGTTAAGTCAAACTTAGAGATAAGTTCAACTTAAGATGTTTGTGAAACACCCCCCTGGTTGCATATTGTCTGCTGAGAGCTAGAAGGGCCTGAACTCTATGATATAAAGTAAATGAGTTAATGCCCTTCTGGCTCCAAACAGAACGTTTCTTTAGAGCCAGAAAAGCATTAGCACTGTTTGAATGTTAAGGGTTTAAGCCCTTCTGCCTCTGAACAGACAAGGATATTTCTTCTGTTCTACCTCTTCCTTTGAAGTGTAGTGCACGTTGATGATGAGTATCAATTTATTTATTGCTGAGCACTAGAAGGGCATTATTAACTCACTACTAAAGGATAGGAATTAACGCTCTTCTGGTACTCAGCAAGTGATGTATTTCTTGTGAACAGACCGAAAAATATATGTAGATGTGCATCTCTCTTTTCTATTGAGAGTGCTGAAAGGAGTTGGATCCAGAATACTATTATTGGGCTATTAGGGTATATTGTTCAGTGTTATGCATTCATTAGGTTATGTTAGATTTCAATGTCATTTTATGTCCCCTCTTTCATTTCTTTGATTTATTTCATAAAGCCATTTCACTTTATGCCCAGTGTGGTTGGTAGTAATTTAAAAGCTTGTAAGTGGCCACTGTATAAACTAATTGGCTCGAGTTCACAAAGAAGGTTTCTCAACAAACCTAGGTTTATGTGCTTCATATGATGCGTTTCGACGTGTTTTTACAAACCAAGGTTTGTCAAAACGCGTCCAAACGGTTGACAAACCTCCTTTGTGAATTTGGGCCAATATGTTTGAAAGTGCAGTGTAGCGGAAGAGTTGTTGCTTCCCTGTAATTGATCCCTTCTCTCTTGTCCTTTTATCAGGGTTGGCAACAGGACTTGAAGAAGCTGAAGGAGCGAGAGCTGAAGCATATGGCCGACCTGACGGTGGCAAACAAAGAGCTTCACAGAATGAAAGATCACCATCGCAAGGTAGAGGACAGACTCCAGAAGTCCCTTTCAACGGACGCATCCAATTGCTGAGGAACAGGTTCTTCAGCTTAACCCTTTGCTTACAGAAACCTGGTGGTCCCTGTGTTAAGCCTATGGGACTTATACGATTCAGTAGTCAACAGGTTAAGGACCATTGCAGAAGAGCAGTATCCTCAAAGCTCAAAGACATATTTCTTGATCCTGATGCGTCTCTGAAGATGTGACATCGGCAGCATTGGGCAGTGGAAAATCTTGAAGATTTGAACATTTGCAATTGGAAATGCATCACAGACAAGAGTCCATTGGGGATCGATGTGCAAGAAAATCATGCTGTCATCCAAAAAGATCACAGTTGGTGAGAGACAAGAAAGCGATGACAGTTTGAAAGGTTTTTCAACGGTTATGGAACCACTTCCGATGCGTAGATAACAGTTTTACAGCAGATACCTTGTTTCTACAAATATCAAAGTTTGTTGGTGTGTAATTGGCCACCCGTCGGGATGCACTGACCTGACGTAGAGAGGGTGCATATTGAACAAATAAGTGGCCAAAGTTGATAAAATTGATTACCATGAAGCCGGCTGGAAGCTTGGATTGGAGTCTGCCTTGAATGAGCATGCCTTGAGGAACACGACTGAGAAGATGATGAAAAAGAACAATTGACCTTTCGACTTGGTCTGTGTTATTGAAGAATTGTAATATGTTGTGGAATCCAGAAGAGTGAATTGATGTTTTGCTGTGTGATTTCAATACAAGTGAAGGATACATTAATGATTTTTAGTCCTTGAAGATAATTTATTGAAATAATGATGATTTGGGTGATTGTATGAAATTTGTTACTTTTATGGGTAAGCAAATTACCTTGCTTGTTGAAGAACAGATATTCTCTTGCCATATTAAGTAAGTAGTTATTGTATGCCATATCGATGGTAGCCATCAAAACATCACAAGGAATCTAAATTATTGTGATACAAAGTGCTACGGAGCGTGCGTCTGAATAATGGATGGCTTCGTGGGTTTATTTGTGATATGATGTTGTACCAAAGAATCTGACCACCTACCTGAGCTCATCAAGTTTCTTTTCTTAGCTTCCTTTAGACAAGATACAGCCCCGAGCTGCCCCGAAGAGGAAAAGGTGCGGCAGACTCCAATTGGATAATTGTGGTGCGCATCAGAGATCGGTATAGCACAGATTTCAGCGTACCGGTATGCATAGGAGCTTAAGTTGTGCGCAGCTCTGTTCCTCCCACCATTCGGCCATTTATTACTGGTACATGTCAAATGATTTCAGATTGCTGCAGCAGTTCTAGGGAAGGTGCTTTACTGCGTTACGTTTGAACGATGCTTCACTGTTTATTAGATTAGGTATTCTAAATCTTCAAAACAAGCCAAGTCTGGTCATGAATGCTATTCAGATCTAGGAGCTGGACCAAGTACCAAAAAGTGGCACAGACGGTGCTATTTTTGTCTTGTAACATCATAGTAGACGACTCCTTTGTGTGTCTAATCAGTGTTCAGTTGGCCATATGACAGCAAAATATTCTAAACGTCAGAATGATTTTGTTTTGGTATCAATTCGGATGCATTCCTGTGCATATAACTTGCTGTGGGTTTCCAAACCCATATCTTTGTCTTATCATTTTTCATCTTATCTGTGGATTGATTTCAAATTTCAAGCTATCCAAGGTATTTGGAATACCATCCAAAGTCCCGCTATGATCAAGTGTGTGAATAAACTTTGATATCAAGATAATGGGTCTCTCTTTACACCAAGGTATCTAGGGCTTAATGATTAAGGAAACAATTGTGCTTGAGGTACTCTCATGTACAGTCGAACCTGCTTTAGTGACCACCTGTCTACAAAGACCACATTTTTTGTTTCCCTTGAAAATGGTTTCTCATTGAAACATGTAAAAGGAACATGTCTACAAAGGCCATACATTCTGTTACAAACATAATCCCTTGTATAACGGTTTATGATATGATTGCATCTTTATATAAACTATACATGTATATCTAAGTAATCTGATTTAGAAAAAAAAGTAAGTCTTATTCCTAATTCCTTCATTACATTGTAAAGCACTTAGAAATGCTATTAAACACTATACAAATTCTTTTGAGACTTTCCTATTCATATTAAACTATACATGAATGGATTTAGGAGAATGATGATCTTTCATCTTATCATTAAAAAAAAACTTTCAATTTTCAATGCTTTCTCGAAATTGCAGGGAAGATTTTTTAACTTGGCGGGAAAAGTGAGAAACAATCAAGAAATGTTGAATGTATGACCAGTACATACCTTGTGTGAATTATTTTTATAGAAAGATGAGAAGAAAATTGAAACAAGCATTGATTGATCGGAGAAATTTCAGCCTTGGTCTCTAACTCCTTCTGCTTGTACAATTTGAGATAATAAAGGTCTATGTACAGAATTGATTAGATTGTAAATACAATGAAAATATGTAAAGAATATTGTGATAACTAAATGCCATAGGGTTCTTATGTGGTATATGTACAATTTCCATGTTTTGTCTGGTTTTTGGTATCTTGTTGATTTGAGATACGTTTTAATACATCAAGAATGTTTAGTCATATTCTGTAAGATAAAAAAAAGTTTCAGTTGGTTGTAATATGCAATGTAATATAGGACATCTTCTGACGGTATATATATTTATCATTATCCTTGCCCTATATTATTTTGTTTCATTGTTTTTGTAAGTATCTTAACCTTATTTTGTTTTGTCATCGAGACAGTGACTAGAGTGAGAAGTTTCAATCAGGGATTTAAAATGGGATATTTTTCTCTCTCTCTCGCTTTCGATTTTTAATTGAATGCATGTGTAGATAACTATTTCTCCTAATATTCTCCACCAAGGCCATTATTTATTAGATGATATTTATTGGTGACATGTTTTTCATTCAGTTATATAAGGATGAGAATACTAGATGAGGAGATGAAAAACAGTGAGTGGGGGAAATCATTCTTTTTGTAATGTCGGGCAAGTCCCAGACATTTTTAATTATTTATTATTGAATGAGTGCAATTGTTTCTTTAAAGAATAGAGGGTTTTGAATGATTTTTGTTTTCCTTTGTACAGACAATTTGTTTGCAATAACTATTATTCAATCTTTATCAACCAAAATTGCCACCCTTTTTTATTTGCTAAAAAATAATGTTCAGATAAGAACGGCAGTGAAATGTTATTTATGTAATTTTTTCCCTCATATATATTAATTTGACCAATAACCCTTCTATTTCAACAATGATTAGACAAAGTTGGTCATCTTGAATGAGAAAAAAGATATCCATTCTGTATTAATAAAGTTCATTACAATTATCGTTGAACTTGCTTAACAGTTTCATCTGTGATACCTATTTATAGAAACAAATATCTGTTTACAAGAATCATTTGATCTAAATAATGATTTTCATGTTGTATGTCATGACTAAATATCAATACTTTAACACAATTTTGAAGTATTGTTGATCTCTCCCCCTTATGTTGTGTAAATGTCTACTCTCAAAAAGTTACAATCCATAACCTACCATCAACAAAAAAGCAAACAAATGTGGTCAATAACTAAACAATAATATTCCAAATCATAACTTTGTTATTTGTACAAGTATGTGAGGACTGATTATTTCGGCATCTTTTGATTTGTTGTGTAATTTTGTAATCTAAATAACTTACAATCAACAACAAAAAATGTAAAAGAAAGTGATAAGTAACCTTGTAATTCCAGAGACATTATTCTCTTTTTCTACCTTACCGGTGATTACCATTTAGAAGTAGATGACTACTTAACCATTCAAAATGGGTGAGTTTATTTTGTTTCAAAATACCTTTTCACCATTTTGACTTGTTTCATTTTTAAAGTAACTTTTAAGTTTCATAAACTTAATCTGCTTGAGGAAAATATAAATGTAGTTTTATAGAATCATTTCATATGTCGGTAGATACATCTTGCGTATCGATTGTGATGGTTGCTTACTTCCATCATAATTAGATGTAAGGGATGGTATTCAAAGCCCTCCTAGTACTGTGTTATCAGAAAGCTCTATCATTAGCCTACAAAAAGTACAAAAGCTTTGGGGATTTACGAAAGGAAGATTATATGACAAGTGATCCAAGTTTCCTGCAATTATGGGATTTGAATGGCTCAGCTCTTATTCTATGTAGGAAAACCATGGTTACACCTTCTAGAACCCAACACCAGACCAACAATAGACCATATAAAAAATTACATGTAATGAATAGCCAAGATGTTGTCGGCTTGGAGTCGGTTTAGGATCGGTTTGGTGTTGTTTTTTTTTGGTAAAGCTGTAAGAGAAACGTTAGTTCTCTTCTCACCCTCTAACAAACCATCAATCCCTCATTCTGGTGTAATAATGTTTTTCACAATCTTCCATTCCAGCAAACTGATTTGTCAACGCTAACTATTCTCAACAATTTTCAGTCTTTTTACTTTTTCATGACATTATTTAAATTTTCATAAACTGAAAAATGCTACACTCTTCTTATCCATCTTGATGCTTATGCTTTGAAACTCCGACTGTAATATTAACTTCTAGAACGTAGCTCAGATGAAGTCAGACTTGCAGTGTTTTTTAATATTTTAGTTTTGTTCACATAACGGTGCCTAGATGAAGGCTGAAATTAGTTTTTATTTCTAAAGCACCTTTTTTGTCCTAGAAATACAATGTCCATTTTGACTTTTTGAAAGTTCAAGATTTCATAGTTTTGTTATTATTTTCTCAAGTAAATTTGGAAATAAAATATATGTCATATGCGCAATACTTACTGACCACGTGTTTTGTTTTGTGTGTGTATGGTATGGTCAAGACTTGTTAAGTGAAACCTTGTCATAAAGTCCTTCAGACAAAGTTGATTTCTTTGGTACATGTATCATGACTAAAAACGATGAATACAGGGAAACTGAACCTGCAATATTATTGATTATAAGCGTAAAATCATGTTCTTACTAGTTAGGTACCACTGTATAGGTATTAGACCTAGGTTTAACAAGTGAAACAAATAATATATACATCTGTATTACTGTAGAACAGAGTGACAGGAGATAAAGATAGAGATAGAACAAGAGCTAGATTTAGAAAGAGAGAGGGGGAGAGAGAAGAGTGAGAGGGTGTGAGAGAGAGAGAGAGAGAGAGAGGGTGAGCGAGAGAGAGAGAGAGAGAGAGTGAATGAGAGAGAGAGAGAGAGAGAGAGAGAGAGAGAAGGGGAGGGGTAGAGAGAAGAAAGAAAGGGAGTATGAGAAACAGGAGATCAGGAAAGAGAAAGAAAAAGAGAAAAGGGCAGCCATCAACAAACATATCTATTATATCTGAATTTGGGCTATATGAAACTGTTAAGTAGTCTATTCACTGACAAAATAATTAGGCCATTACAAAATCTAATTATAAATTATAGATTTAGCTTTATTGAAGAAGCATAACTTAATTAAATACATAACTTTTATATAACAAGCATACATAATAGGAACAATTCCAGTACTTTGTCACTATGAAAGATGTCCTTGTGTAAGTTATTTTAGGTTTTTGAGGAACATAAAAAAGACTGAAACGAGGCAAAAGCCTAGAATACTGGAAAGATAGTAACTTGTAACATGCAAAACAGATACTTACATGCAATTACAGTAAATACACAATTTGTAAAAAAGTTCTTAAATATATTTAACAAAATGATATCAAAAACATGAAAATAGCTAAAAAAAATAATCCCTTCAATTGCAAAATAGCATGAAAAGGCTCTCAAGCACTCAAGGAATTACCTTTATACACGTTATACCCATGCTCAGTAGTCTTACTGATATATAATACATATATATATATTTCATTTCTTATTTATTTATTTATTTCATTTATACATGGAAAATGATATCTCAGCCTGTGTCTGTTCTTCAATATGTTTTCAAATGAGATAACACGTTTTTCATTAAAAAATGAATACATAAATCATTCTTGCATGCACTGAATAACTCCATTAAATAAAATGTCTATAAAATAACGAAGACAGAAGAGAAAACATCTATTAATTCAGAAATATATAATTGCAGGGACATAATAATAAACATGAACATGAAATTCATGTAATCAGCACAGGGTATAAAAATAAAACTATTTAAACAAAAATTGAGATAATGGTAAAATGAAACTTGCAGCATCCGATTATTGCATAATCTAAAAATAAAAAACAAAAATTATAGGTTCTCTACTATAGATGACGATAATTCACGGTTATATTTTGGAAGGGTTCAAGGTTCGCTTTATTTCTGCAGCTTAAAGGTAAAGACCAGTATTGGAAACGCCCTAATTTCAAAACATGAAATGGAAGCTCTTATTACCAATCATGTGAAAGAATATGTTTTGACTAATACATGATAACAATTTTGCAGGGGAACTGCCTACTAATTGATATATTTGGTAAATTAGTTTATCTACATGGTCTGTGAGAGATAAACGCACGTGTCGCGCATGTGTGCGTATAGTCCCATTACATCTTTCTGTGTACAGTGCTTGTAACTTTAAATAATAATTGTAGATTAATGCTTGTAAATAAACAACCATGGTGTCTTGTTGTTAGTCTTACTTGAGGGAAATGATAATCTTATCTGTATGCTTGCTTGTTTGTTTTACCTGACTGCTATAAAAAGCATATACTGTACATGCTTGTAAGTAAGAAACAAGGGGACCAACAGAGGGACCTGGTAATGAGGATTACTGCCTTACCAAAGGGCACAAGCACATCTACTTAGTTTCAAACCCTGGACCTACCGGTTACGAGACCTCTGAGCCATCGTCACTGCCTCAATAATAGAGAATCAATAGCTCAAGTGAATTTATTACATACTGATTTGTATGTGTCAATACATGCTCTGTATGTTGAACAAATGTCATGATTGGTTTAATGCAGGTTTAATACAATGTGAAAAAACAGACCACTTCTATAAACCACTTTTCAAATAAATTCATTTCTAATTTTAAATAATCCCAGCTGCATCAACAAATAATTTCAAAGTACTGTTATTTTACAGAAAGTTACAGAAAGTCTTATGAAAAATAAATCTGAAAAAATAGATATTTCATATATAACTATTGCCTTCCATGACAAATGTCTATGATGACGGCAAATATCTGGCATTAAAACTTTGATACCTCCACCAAAATTGAAAGAAGACTCTTTCGATAGGCCATTGACAAAAAAACTAGCTATATATGGAGGCCTGTCTTTATCAGCTCGAGTTTACCAAATAACCCCTCATTTTAACTATCCCAATTGCAAATTAGCCAGTTAATATGCGCCTTAACTCTTTATGCGCCACTTAAAAAACCCCCCTGTGCCACATTCTTTTAGGGTCACACATTTCGAGGGAATCTTTATTGACTCTGCTGAATCAAGAGGCTATAACTCTTCACTGGATGATCATGATGAAAAATATTGTGCAGCAAAGTTGTAGACCGGAAAACGTGCTTTTCGATGAACCGTCATTTGTTATATTTTGAATTATCATTTTTATAATAATCATAATTATATAATGTTTAATTTTTCTTATTTACGGCAGTTTTTTATCCCTCTAGAATTTCTTATTTAGCAATGATAAGACATCTTCAAATCGAATCTATTAGAAAGGTGGACTTCTTACCTTTCTTTACATACCTTGCTCAAGTATTCTAACAATTCAGAAGGTTAGTATTTAGGTTGTTGAAGAAAAGAAGTTCAATAGGGAGAGACTTGAAAGTACCCCGCTCAGCCACCCTTGACAATGGGCTAATCTGCCCATTGAAATCCCTATTACCCCAGGTTATTGTCAATGTCCGGTTTAGCGGGGCATGAAAAGGGACGTCGTGGGGATGTTTTTCTTTGTTGTGCCATGATAAGTCAATAAGAAATAAGAGAATGTTATTGATTTTGCCCACTGGTATGAGCATGTAAAAATGGTATAGGCATAATATATTATATGTGATATACATGACATAATCAGCATCTTATTGAAATGTCTCATTATGAATGTTCACCGCATCTGTTCTCTCACCTTCTTTACCCCTCAATAAAATTGATTTCAAGTACATTTATCACAGCCATAGATATACAAAGAAAGAATGAATCAATCTTAAAATATAAACTATATTGCATTGTTTTCCATTTACTTTATTGTGAGAGAGCTTATTATCAGAAATGATTGACGAGTGGAGTATGCAATGAATAAAATATGGAGAACGGACGTGAGAGACATTATGAGAGAGAAATAGTGATATGAAATGAAAGGACTTTACTGTGAATAAAGATTATAAGAGAAAGAGATAAAGATGACGGCAAGACAGGATACATATTGATACGAAAATAACAATAATAATGAGATAGAGATGACGGAAAGAAAGAGAGTAAACACTGATAGCATAAGAATGAATAAAGATAATAAGAGAAAGATATAGAGATGACGGCAAGACATAGGGTACATATAGATAGGAAAATGATAATAATAATAAGATAGAGATGACGGAAAGAAAGAGAGTAAACACTGATAGCATAAGAATGAATAAAGATAATAAGAGAAAGATATAGAGATGACGGCAAGACATAGGGTACATATAGATAGGAAAATGATAATAATAAAAAGATAGAGATGACGGAAAGAAAGAGAGTAAACACTGATAGCACAAGAATGAATAAAGATAATAAGAGAAATATATAGAGATGACGGCAAGACATAGGATACATATTGATAGGAAAATAATAATAATAATAAGATAGAGATGACGGCAAGAAAGAGAGTAAACACTGATAGCATAAGAATGAATAAAGATAATAAGAGAAAGATATACAGATGACGGCAAGACATAGGGTACATATAGATAGGAAAATGATAATAATAATAAGATAGAGATGACGGCAAGAAAGAGAGTAAACACTGATAGCATAAGAATGAATAAAGATAATAAGAGAAAGATATAGAGATGACGGCAAGACATAGGGTACATAATTATAGATAGGAAAATGATAATAATAATAAGATAGAGATGACGGAAAGAAAGAGAGTAAACACTGATAGCATAAGAATGAATAAAGATAATAAGAGAAAGATATAGAGATGACGGCAAGACATAGGGTACATATAGATAGGAAAATGATAATAATAATGAGATAGAGATGACGGCAAGAAAGAGAGTATTACACTCATAGCATAATAATGAATAAAGATAATAAGAAAAAGATATACAGATGACGGCAAGACATAGGGTACATATAGATAGGAAAATGATAATAATAATAAGATAGAGATGACGGAAAGAAAGAGAGTAAACACTGATAGCATAAGAATGAATAAAGATAATAAAAGAAAGATATAAAGATGACGGCAAGACAGGATACATCTTTCTTTCATTAGTTTTATTCATTCTTATTCTATCACTGTCTACTCTCTTTCTTGCTGTCATCTCTAGCTCTTTCATTAATTTTTATTCATTCTTATTCTATCAGTCTACTCTCTTTCTTGCTGTCATCTCTATCTCTTTCTTTCATTATTTTTATTCATTCTTATTCTATCACTGTCTACTCTCTTTCTTGCTGTCATCTCTATCTCCTTCTTTCATTTTTTTTTATTCATTCTTATTCTATCAGTCTACTCTCTTTCTTGCTGTCATCTCTAGCTCTTTCATTAATTTTTATTCATTCTTATTCTATCAGTCTACTCTCAGGGAACACTTTTATCACTAGAGTCTTCGTCACTGCTCGATTCGTCGGAATCAGAGTCCATGCTCCATGCTTCCATAGTAACAAG